GGAGATTTAGATTAGCTCGGAAGCAGGAAATGGTTGGATTTCTTACTTTCTAGCTAGTCTTTAGATCTTCGGCTCTGCTTTTAAGCACAGCCGAACCTCCCTTAGGATTGAAAGTTCTATTATTCAGTGCAGAGTCACGGCAAGCAAATTTTATGTGACAGATTCAGATAGCTGATGGCAGATAGATAGATGACTGAATGATTCTGTGAGCAACTCAATCTGCCTGCCTGCTTTGCCTGTTTTTGGGTAAAAGTTGCTCTTTTTTAAAATAAAATATTTCAATATTTACATACATGGTGTGTTGTGAGTTAATTTTGTGAGTTTGCTTGCTAGCAAATTTTATGAGTTTGCTTGCAAGCCAATTTTATGTGACAGACTGAGCTAGCCGATGGCAGATAGATAGATCTCTGAATGAATCTGTGATTCTGTGTGCAACTCAATCTGCCTGCCTGCTTTGCCTGATTTTGGGTAAAAGTTGCTCTTTTTTATGAAAAATTCAATATTTATATAAATATTTATAATATTTACATACAAGCCATGCCCAGCCAGTCACATGACCACCAAGCCACACCCACAAATTAGGCCACGCCCACAGAACCAGTTAGTGGTCCCTGGGATTTAAAATTATGAGTTTGGTGGTCCCTGAGGTCCAAAAGGTTGGTGACCCCTGGACTAGATAGCAACAAACATTTATACTACCTCAGGGGGGCCATTCAAATTTTTTTAACAACCAGTTCTGTGGGCGTGGCTTACTTGGTGTGACTGGGTGGATGTGGCTTGGTGGTCGTTATCAATATCACTCACATCGAGGCACGCATCTCCTCGCCTGGCCTCTCATGACTGTGGGGATGCTGCAACAGTCGTAAGTGTGAAAAATGGTCATAAGTCACTTTTTTCAGTGCCATGGTAACTTTGAATGGTCACTCCACACAAGCAAAGTACCAGCAAAGGAGGGAAAAAAACTCCAGAGAAGTTCCAGAGACAGGAAGTCTAGTCCTGCCAAGAATGTAATAAGGGTTAACCGAGAGGCAGTTTCTGTAAGCAACACCAGAATGTTTCCTTCCTGCCTTCTTTACAGGATTAGGCCAGTAATTTCTTCTAACAACCAGTTCTCCGAACTGCTTAAAATGCTAACAACCAGTTCTTGCGAATACGTGTGAACGTGTAGAATCCCACCCTTGTAACTACCTCCAGTTCCTCAACAAAAAGGAGTTGTAAAAGTGAAATCAAGAAACAACTGGGTATCACTTCCCTGACAAAAAATGTGCAAAATATATGTAAATAATAATATGTAGGGATTCCATTTCACTTTACATATATATAACATAGAGAAATGATGGGTATCAGAAGCCCAAGTGATAAGCTACTTATAAGCTGCTTCTTATGTTACCTACATCTGCATAACCAACCCATCTTACTCACTTTTCTCCCTGTTCTCTTACCCCCAAATCACTGCAATTTAATCCTACATCAGTCTGGTTATTCTATGGACCTGATAAAATGAGCCACAGGTCACAAAAGCTTACACTTTTTAATAACATTTGTTAGTCAAAACACATCCTTGACTAACAAACATTCATTTTGTCACTGTTCGAAGTTAAAACGGTATTGAAAAAAGTGACTTATGCTGTTTTTCACACTTACAACCATTGTAGCATCCCCATGGTCACATGATCAAAATTCAGATGCCTGGCAACTGGCTCATATTTATGACAGTTGCAGTATCCTGAGGACACGTGATCACTGTTTGCGACTTCTGATAAGCAGAGTCAATGGAGAAGCCAGATTCTCTTCACAACCATGTTACTATCTTAATAACTGCAGGGATTCACTTAACCATGCTGGCAAAAGAAAGGTAAAATGGGGCAAAACTCACTAAACAATTGTCTCCCTTAGAAATATTGAGCTTAGTTGTAGTTGTACATCAAGGACTACCTGTATTCTTCCATTTACAAAATAAAACTGAGATTTATCTAGTTGTTCTTGAGCAGCTCTTGATAATGGAAGCTCATGTCCTCACTCGGTGCGTTTATCCATCAGTTATACTTTGACTTTCTTCTGATCTTTGGCACATTATATAGTCCACCCTAGCATGATGTTGTACTTTCATGCATTCAAATGGATTGTATATATGAAATTAGACTGATCAGCATAATAGAGTTCATTAAGCTCATTATCTTATGATCACCAGGAAGGGCCCTTCGTTTGTCCACAAAAAGTTGCATTCTGATGAAACATGAATGCTCTCTGGTTTGTGGTTATGTGTGAGAATGCAGACAAACCCAGAATCTTGCACTTCCCTGCAGAACTGAAATAGCATTCACCATTTCTGATTGAGGAAATGGCTATTTTTATGGAATCATTTTTCTATGAATAATGATAAACCTAAAGGGATTAAAATATTAGATAATATGTAAAAGCAATAGACAGTACCTGGGCCATTTCTTTTCTCTGCTGTTCTCCTCCCCCCTTCTAAACAACAATAATGTTTCAAGACAACTAAATATGTAGGAATTGCTTCTGTTGTAAAACCACCGGGAGACTGGTCTGCTAACTCTATTTTTAAAATATCAAACCAACCATAATTTTCCTGATCAAAATGACACTAAAAACTAACAGAGGACAAGACATTCAGGTATTAAGTGGTATATAATTCTAAGTGCTATAGCTATTAATCTATCTCATCTACTAGGAATGTTATTTCTTATGAATCTGTCCACTCATGAATCTTCCACCTGATAAAGTTCAGCTGCACACTTCTATCAACAGAATTTGGTTCATTTGTCTAATTGCATTTCTATTTTCTATGAAGTCAGATTATGATAAATAACATTTTTCATTATCACATCATAATAGAATGGCAAGGACTTGACTAAAGACTTTGACACTGTCTCCCTTTCCTCCAACTTTTTTCTTCTCTGCTGTCCTGGCATGGGGAGTACAAACAAATTAAATATTTGTACACAGGTGCACTTTCTACAATACACATGTGTATTGGCAGATAGAGAAGCTACTTCTATAGAATATATCCTCAACTTCTGTTCATTAAAACCACACGAGGATTTCATGCAGTTTCTTTCCTCTCATTTACCTGTAATTTTCTTTAGTTGGGTGTGTGTGTAAAAATATGGGAAGGCATTATACCTCATAGTTTGTCTACGACTATGTTTGTCTATAGACATAGTTTGTCTATAGTTTGTCTATTTTGTATATAAAAATTTCTTAGACACAACTGTCTCATTTCATACACAGTCATCCATTCTGGACAAAAGAATAAGAATCTGGTAACACCTATTCCATGACAAGATTGATAAAAACCAGGTTATAAAATAGAAGATAAAGAGGATCTCTGTGTGTAAACTGGGCAAAGTGAGCAAAGGGTGTGTATGTGTGCATGACATGCAATGTTTTTTCTATTCTATAGCTAATTACTGTATTTGCTCCTGTTTGCCTGCTATTTCTCCCTTTATCTTTTTCACATTGGGAGGTCTTCCTAGACTTAAAACAGTTTTGGTAGTTACCTGATTATATAACCCTTTTGCTTATATTAGTTGCAAAAATTGTACTGATCAACAACATGCTGGAACTGAGAAACTGCATTTAAGCTTTGATTCACTTGTTTATCGTTGCCGTCTGCAGTGATTGTGCTTACCAAGATCGCAAAAGGGGAGGGGAAAGGTTCTTTACAATTACCCTCTCCCAAAACAAAACCCTGGTAACATGCCAAAGGCCAAGGACCAGTGAGTATGTACTGTACGTGTATGTGCATGCATGCAAGTAGAAATCTCCAGCAAAAGGAAAAAGAAACAATTGCGGAGAGAAAGTGAACAGAACCAGAATAATCTGATCATTGTGATTATTCTGAACTCACCAAGAACTCACCAATTGCTGGGTTTCTTGCTGAGGGACACTGGAGAGCTGCATGTCAGGTTGCTCAGAAGGTATGTGAGAGGATTCAGGCCCTGGAGAGCTTTGGCTGTGAGATGGCTGTAAATGAAAGGTGGGATGAAGAGAGAAAATTTGAAGAGAACCATAGTACAGAAAAGCAAACCAGAAGCTGAGCATTTGGGGGATGAGTGCACCATTTAGCATTGACTGGATGTAAGAAATTATCCTTAAAAGGACATGATGGTTTCAATGCTGAAGACATGTTGTACCATTCATAGCTTCACTGCAGTCATCACTAATTTAGCACATATTTCGATCTCTTTCAAAATGAGAAGAGTGGATTCCTTTAATCTAATGGAATCAACTGCTCTCCCAGATTTAAAAAAAGCTTGCAAGTCTCTCCCTTCTAATGTGCCTATATACATAGCTACATAAATTTAATATAAGCATACAAATTTAATAAATAAATAAATAGAAGAATCAAATAGATGTTGAAAAAGATATTCCTCTAACAGCAGCCAAATGATCAATGATCAGTAAACACATAATAATCATTGTCTTAATGGCCTCATAATAAATGCATCTGGTTTTTCTACATTGATTAATATCCTCTAAAATTACCTTTTCTCAATCTTTCTTGCCTAGCAGTCTGCTGGGTAAATCAACACTTTGATATATATTCTCGCAAAGATTTTTTTCTTGTACATTCAGTGGGTGATACTAAATAATAATAATTGTTTAGTAGCAATAGCAGACAATATATTCCCTTCCTACCTGCCCTGTTCTAGTTTTTCTGATATCTCTGCCTCAAGGATGGACCAAGCCAAAAAAAAATTGGGTTGCTTGGGGCATGGATTTCATTCATTCATTCATTCATTCATTCATTCATTCATTCATTCATCAATTTTTCCTATTTCTCAACTGACCATCTTGGGAGACCATGGAAACCCATTCTGTTCATCTGAATAGCCTCTCCTTATCAAAAGAAAGAAATCATCTCCTCCCAGATGAGCTGGAGCAGAGTTAAGAAGTCCTATTCTAGGTCTTCCTCAACCCAATTTCCTTTTCATTTGACCGTGACTCCATCTTCTCCAACTTTCAACATTTGGATAGAGCAGTTATGATCCTTAGACAGAATAACATATATGCTGTACATACACTTGGCATGGGCTCAGGGTCCTTTGACTGTACTAATAAGTTGTTCAAATAAAATGATGTATGGTAGACAAATATATTAGCATTTATTTTCAATATTTACATAGTAGCTTTCAGTATAATTATTTCCAGGATAGTTTACTTAGGAAAGAGCAACATATTAAGTAAATGGCCCAAATTGCTCATTGTTTGTTGAGCTGCTCTATTAAAAGATGGCCAATAACCTTCTCTCTCTCCCACCTCTTTTTTTCCACATCAATAATGGAAATTTTACAAAGCGGCATTGATTAGGAATGGAGCAAGAAACTGTTTTGTCTTTACGGCAACTGGTTCACAACATATTTCAAGCAACAGACAGGATAGAATTATCTTAATCATGAATTGCTGTTTTTATATACAGTAATGGTTATTTCAGGCATTCACATTCTAAGTAGGCTCAGAGCTACTGTTTAATTAAATCAAATGACTGCATTGGATGTTAAGCTTTCTTCTCCAAGAAGAAAGAAAATCTGTGTCAGCCACACACACCGAATTGCTATACTATCTGAGGTGGGAGCCTGACTGATGCTTTTCTTGCCTTACCTCGACAGAGGGGAGGGGCTCAGGTGGGGCAGGACCAGGAAGATAAAGGGAAGGCAGAGAGGCATTGTGGGCCTGGAGGCTGGATCCCTTGTTCTGGTCCATGGAGGTCGAGGAAGAGGGCCGGGTTGAGCCACCTGTCAGTGAGTGGTGCAGAGCCCCCGTTCGTCCTAGACTGTGGGTTTTGCTCTCCCGACGCTGGTACTCTATGGGTGACTGCAGTGCTGGGAGGGGAAAAAAACAATAGGAAGAAACTTTGAACTATGGGGTCAACCCGGTTAACAAAAATACCAATACCAAAAATACCAAAAATGCCAAAAAAGAAGTTGTATGATATTCACTGAGAATAACAAGAAACCATTTCTGAACCAAGAGGTAATTTCATTGAGTAAAAGGATTACGTGATGATTTGCCTGTCTGAATTAGCCATCACAGATTAGGCTTACCTGAGGTCTAACGTCATCTACTGATTCCTCCCATGACTGATGTACTGAGGTGGCTGCTGGAGAGGATGGAAACCTTGATCTTAACGTCATTTTTGAATGATCACTTTGTAAATTGCTCAGAGTCACTTAGGTGAGATGGGTGATGTAGAAATTTGATAAATAAAATAAAATCTTTAAGAAAGATTTTTTAAGATACTTTAAAAATAGATTTCTTGTTGCTGGCACATTCGGTGAGATTGGGTTTATGAGTGAATTTTGGGGTATAAATATAGTTTAAGATGTCATTGCACTGAACCCAAAATAACAGAATTCTCAAAAATCTATTCAGATTTGTGTTGGTTTCCTCATCCCCTTTCTTCTTCTTCAGTTTCCCCTCTTCTTTGACAAGATGGAAAGTGTCTGTAGCTTTGTCAGCTGTTTCCCCAAATAGGAATGCTGAGTTCTACCACTTTCAATACCTTGTGAAAAGTTAGATGATCTACAAACCAGAATTATTCTCAAAGCCAAGGTCGCACCACTGCATTCTCCTATGTCGCCTTCAAATCCTGTCATCTTTTCTTTTCTTTTCTACCTTAGCAACAATTTCAGTTTTTATTTCATGTCATTAGTTGACATCACCCAGAGAAACAATTTCCTTTGGAGCAAAGGCAATGCTTTTTTTTCCCAACTCAAGGATTATCCAAATTCTTCCTTTTTCAAACCATTTTACCCCTTTCTGTAGAAATGGCTTTGATCTTTTTTTCCAATTACAACTATAGCTTGCTGGTTTGCCTTTTCAGCATGGTGTTCTATTTTCTTAACAGCAGAAATTGTTGAGCATAATGTTTTTCTTCTCCTGCCTCAGCCAAAGCTTTTATTAATACCTCTGCTATTGGATTAGGTCTGCATGTTCTGCAGCAACCAAAACCACAAGTATTTATCCCCCCACCTCAAGTATCCAGTTGACAGCTACTCTTTTCTTAACAACAGTTTTTTCCTCAGTTTCAGTTTTAAAAATTGATTCCTCTAGACAACCTACTTTTTCCTCAGCTTCAGCCCATGTTCTGAATCAGGAATACAATGATCAAGAATATAGTTATTCAAACTAATCCTGTTGCCTCCTGGTTAAGGATTTGTACTGGGACCCATGATATCCCTTCCTATTTTATAATAAATGGTACAAACTGATGCTGTACAGTATTATAGTTCTTTCAAGCAACCCTTCTTTTCCTCTCCATTCACTGAGAGACTTGTTACTGGTGATACAAAAGGGTTTTAGCTTCCTAATTTGCCTGTCAATACAGATATTTTTTTTCTATCCACTAATTTGGTACATAAAACAGGCAAGGAGGCAGCTATGGTTTATCATTTCCTCAAATTGTGATTCTCTTCTTTGTCAATCTCATAACATTTAATAATTAAAAGCCAATATTGGCATACTTCTTCAATTTTACCATTCCCCCCCCCCCGCCCCACTTTTTTGGCCAGTATGGATTACCTAAAATAATAGTCTTCAGATGATCCTTTTTTTAGTCACAGTTATAACCTGCCCACTATGGAACTCTTCTGCAACTATTGTGTATTTAAAGTAGTTGTTGAAAAAAGTGTAAACCTCTTGTATATAATTGGTTTAAAGACATTGAAAGCAGCTTATTCTTCAGAAAATTTGTTCTATATCTCTGCCAGCTCTCCTCAAATCAAACACACTGTGAATATCATGAAGTTTTTGTTTCTTAAGTTCCATTAAAAACTGAGAGAAAGGTGTATGGATACATGATGAAACCTAATGGTATCTTTCAGTTGAAGTTTAACCTGCAAAATTTCTTTTTCATAATGGTAAGCCTATATAGCTCAATGACATTTGAATTTTTTTATTCTTTTCTCTTTTCTTTCATCTTTTATTTCCTCAGCGTCTTCTGTTCCCTGAAAATATTTATAAATATTTTATTTCTTTAACTGCTCTTTTTTAGTCAGTAACAGTCTGATATCTCTCATGCTGATTTTATAATATAAGATCCATTTGTCCTCACTTTTTTTTTTAAAAAAATAGCTTTGTTTATTGTCCAGGATCTGGAATTAATTTTTGTTAAATCAAAAAGCCATGGTAGCACAGTGATTAGAATGTAACATTGAAGGCTAACTCTGTCCGCAGCCAAAGTCCAATTCTCACTGGCTCAAGGTTGACTCCGCCTTCCATCCTTCCAAGGTTGGTAAAATGAGGACCCAGGTTGTTGGGGGCAATATGCTGACTCTGTAAACTGCTTAGAGACGGCTGGAAAGCACTGTGAAGCGCTATATAAGTCTAAGTGCTATTGCTATCAATTTTCTTCTTTTTTCTACGCACAGTATTTTCTCTGTTGTTTCTAATTTTCTGTGCTATCCTTTAAAACCATTTTTTCTCAGATTTTCTTGATTCCCACCTCACTTTTTCTTAAAACTTTTTAGTCAGATAAATTGATTTGACAGTATACAAGTTGAATAAATAAATAAACTCCTTTGGGGATCTATATTATACCACTGTGATTTCATACGCTGAGATCAGATTTATTTGATTAGAAGTGGCAAATTTAATTTGGAAAAAAAATGTAGCTTAAACACTTGCTATCACCAATCCAAAATAATAGGGATTTATTATACTTAAATGATCTCATCAACTATTTTCATGGCAGTGTAATATTTAGGGAAGTGCTGTTATATTCTGCCTCTCATTTATACAGAAGGCCAATTTTTATAAACAATTGGAATGTTTATATCATTTGACCAAAGATTTATAAACAATTTATAAAAATATACATTGTTTTGGGGAAGAAGAGCAGGTTGTTTCTACAGGCCTTGAAATATAATACCAAGCCTTTGTAGGATTTGTCACTGGTTATGAATTGTTCGTAGGTCTATGATTTTTTGCTTCTTTATCATTGTTCTTGCTGTTAAAAGTTGTCAGTTGCCTATTGTCTTTGGATTCAGGTAACTTCCAAACTTTAAAATTAAAGTAAATGTTTCAAGTGAAAAAAAATGGAAGTATTGAAAAAGCAACATAAGCAAACTTGCAGGTTTTGCCTTCACATTCCTTGTAATGAGTAGAGGGCCTCCACTTGGGATTCTGGAGCTCCCTTCCTTCAAATGTGTTTTGTGTTGTGTTTGATCTGCACAAATCAAAGCACCCCCTTGTGAGACATGTTTGTTGCTTCTTCAATTTCATTAAGACCTGATCTTATTAGAATGGAAATTACAGACGAATTGACAAGTGGGAATCACATCTTTGAATAACACAAACCTTCCTAGGAGTAAAAAAAATCAGCATGCAGGCACCAAGCTGAGAACTGTTGCCCTGGTTCCTTTCCTATTAGAAGGAGTCCCTGAGAAATAAGTCCAATTTCTGCCTACAAGGATCAATCTAGGTATTACTCTGGCAAAGAATATATAATATTGAGCATATGTATATTTTCGTAGATTTTCACGGGTACAGGTATGCAGGTCTTCGTGCGTTCGGGTCTTTTCCCGAACAAAAAACAAAAAACGGCTGCTAAGCCTGACACACAAGATTAAAAAGAACCCAATACACAAGCCTGAGGATGGCAGATGAGATTCTGCCGAAACGTCGCTATAATAAAAGCACAAATATTAAGACGTGGGAAAATACCTGAAGAAACCTAAATACCATACATATAAATACCCGCAAAAACATAAGAAAACAAATATATATATACTGCTTGATTGTCAAGCAGAACACAGCAAACTCCAAGACCAATAAACACAGACCAAGACTCCCAACCAATCAGGATGAAGAAAAAACCATTCTAACACAGCAGTAGGCTGGCACCAAATTTAAAACAGAAACGGCTGTGAAAGCCTGACTCACAGACGAACACAATACAGAAGCCTGATGATGGCAGATGAGATTCTGCCGAAACGTTGCTACAACTTTAAAAGCACAACTATAATGACGTGGGAAAATACCCGAACCAAGCCGAACACCATACATGTAAGTACCCGCGAAAACTTAAGAAAACATATATATATATATATATTCTTAAGTTTTCGCGG